TTTCCTCTCATTTGCTTTTCCTTTGTTTGTTTTGGCCTCTTTCTTGCATATTAAAACCTTTCCTTAAATGTTCAATGATCTTTGGCTGTCTGTTTATATTTAAGCATGAGCATATTCAAAAACTCATTGGAAAGACCATGTATGGGATGGGGATGCAGACCAAGAGCTTATTTATAGGATTGGTTCAGCTATTTCCTTGAAAGAACCCTGATAAGAATATCTTTGGGATTTTTATTAGGCTGGTCAGATTCCCCAGAGAAGGTTTTCCAATATCCTACCTGGAGGTATAGTTTACCTCTCTTGAGTAATCAGCTTTCTCACGTCTGCTAAACTAGTTATTGTTTCTCCATTTGCTTTCTAGTTTCTCAAATGTTATTATTTCCTTTTCTTTTATTTTTGTCCTTGTTTAACATTAATTACCAGATTGTCTTAAAGTTGTATGTATATCTGAAGAGATGTGCTTCTGCACAATATGGCTTCCTGTCTGACAGTTTGTGGTGAATTTCCTGTTATGATGCTGAAAGCTATGTCATTGGTATTTCAAACACCAACAGGGTGAACCATGGTGGACAGATTTCAGCAGAGCTTCCAGACCAAGTCACTGAGAAGAAAGGCCTGGTGATCTACTTCCAGAAAATTAACCAATGTAAACCTTATGGATTAAACATAATATCATCCAATATAGTGCTGGAAGATGAGCCACTTAGTTAAGAAACCACTACACAATAACCACAACAATGAATTCAAATTTATCAACTTCCATGAAGGTGCTGCAGAATGAGGCAACGTTTTGTTTTGTTATATATGATTGCCACAAGTAGGAAGCAATTGGACAACAACTAACAAACATCTCTACAATAATTGTTGTACAATTAAGTAACTTCAAGGGCCCACCCGCCCTTCGACCTAAATCCTTGGCTTTGCTGGAGCCGAATACAATGCCGAAGACATCTAATAAAATAGTAAGAAGAGCTACAATGTTACAGCTAGGCAAGAGAGAGAAATTGCTTAAAAGGCCTTTACGCAAAGACCACGCCCCTTTGAAAGGAAGAAAGAGTGGGAGGGGGCCTGATCTCGTCGATGATTGGTTGGTCTCTCTGACTAATCACATGCAGCGAGTCATTTGCTAGTTGTGATCCACCTCCCCGAGAGTTCTAGAGATACGTTTACAAATGGGAATAGGGTATGTGAGAGGGACAGCATATATAGCCAATGAAACTTTGTGTCGTTAATGGGCGGGGTGAAGCCGCTGCCAGGTTCAGGGCGGAAAGAGTTGCTCTAGATAAGACGGGGAACGAAAGATGGCGGTCGAGACATTTCTCTCCAGTCTGTTAGGGCTGCTGCTCCTGGGGTTCTTGTTACCTGCAAGTCTGACCGACGGTGTCGGAAGCCTGAACCTGGAGGAGCTGAGTGAGATGCGTTATGGGATCGAGATCCTGCCTTTGCCTGTCTTGGGAGGGCAGGTGAGGAGGAATAGGAGGGAGCAGGGGAACACGTAGAAAAGGAAAGCAGCTGTGGAGTCTGGGGCAGAAGCCTATCTACTCGAGTAGAAAGAAAGTGTGGTTACAGTGATTGCTGAAGACTCAGCCCCATTCCCTAGGGGCTGGGAGGGTGGGGCTTCTCGCTGTCTGCCTCCTGGTCTTGGTTCCTGTTAAAAACTCCGCCCTCACGGTGAAGTGAGTGTTTTCTCCCCTCACTCACCGAGCACAGTTGGAGGATTTGTGGTTCTTGCGGTCTCCAACTGGGCTCTTCCCCAGGGTCTGAAGAGGGAACTCGTTGTTTTGCCTGAGGCCAGCCTCTCATTGCCTCCCTGCTCCCCGAATCCCTCCTTTCTTTCCCAGAGCCAGGCTTCAGATGTGGTGATTGTCTCCTCTAAGTACAAACAGCGCTATGAATGTCGCCTGCCAGCTGGAGCCATTCATTTCCAGCGTGAAAGGGAGGAGGAGGCACCTGCTTACCAAGGGCCTGGGGTCCCTGAGTTATTGAACCCGATGAAAGATGCTCCCTGCCTGCTAAAGGTAAAAGGAACTGGCTTGGTTGGAGCAGGAGTTGGGAACTAGCAGTTAAATGTGTGAAGCATTGTGCTGGTGAGTGAGGAGGGATCTGGAGGATCTACTGTAGGCGTTAAGGTCCGCAGGAGTTCAGACAGAAAAGGAGCAAAGAACCCTGCAGCTACTCTTGTGGCTCTGCCAAATGTAGAGGAGGATTAAGATAGGAGATCTCAGAGTAAAGGTTGAACAAAGAGGGACAGTGTGGGGGTAGAAAGAGCACCTCTTTAAGGAAGCTTTCCTGGTAAACCCTGACAAAGTCAACTCCTGCCCCTGTCACTCTCTGTCCCATTGTTGTTGTTGTTGTTGTAAGTATCATCGAGTCGGTTCCGACCCATAACGACCCTGTAATAGGGTTTCCGAGATGTAAATCTTTACGGGAGTAGAAAGCCTCATTTTTCTCCCGCTGAGCGGCTGGTAGTTTCGAACCGCTGACCTTAAGGTTCGCAGCCCGATTCGTAACCACTACGCTGCCAGAGCTGTCCCATTATCCTAATTTATTTATTTTTATCCTAGCACCATTTTCTCCCCTGAAATCATCCTGTTAATGAAATCATTCATTTATTTATTTACTTAATTTTTGGTTAGATTCCCTGCACTGGGACATATGTTTCATGAAGTCAGAGAATTTATATTGTTCACAGGTATATCTTTAATGTCTAGAACAGTGCAAGGAATATTACAGATGTTGAATAAACATTTGAGGTTTTTGTTTCCTTAAGGAGCTCTGATAGCGTAGTGGATTATGAGCTAGGCTGCTAACCACAAGGACTGAAATTCCAATCTAACAGCTGCTCCTGGGAGAAGGATGAGGCTTTCTGCTCCCATAAAGGTTTACAGCTTTGGAAACCCTCTATGGGGTTGCTATGAGTTGGAACTAACTGCACAGCACATGACCACCATTTCTTGTCTTTATTAAGGACAAAGATGATGTGTTGTTGTTAAGTGCTGCGGAGTTGATTCCGACTCATAGCAACCCCACATGGGGTTTCCGAGGAGCAGCTGATGGGTTTGAACTGCCAATCATGTGGTTTGCAGCCCAATGCTGGTCCTACAGGGCCACACCAGGAGTGCACAGAAAGGCATATATAAAATATATATGAGGAGGAGTAGAAAGTTTACAGTGTGGAATTGAGTGGACATAGAGAGAGATGAGGGGTTGTATGTCTTGGAACCAGGCGAGATTCTGGTTCCAAGAAGACATATCCCATTTCTTCCTCCTGATTGTTCATTCTTTAATTTTCAGACAAAGGACTGGTGGACATATGAATTCTGCTATGGACGACACATCCAGCAGTACCACATGGAAGGTACATTTCCCTAAGCCTTCAGCTACGTGTCATGGGAGGTGACTTGACTCCTCAGTCTGCTTCTCTCCCCAGTTCTTTCATAAGAGAGTAATGGTGTTCTGCTTCTGTTACTTTTTCAGACACAGAGATCAAAGGTGAAGTCCTCTATCTTGGCTACTACCAATCTGCCTTCGACTGGAATGATGAAACAGCCAAGGTGGTAGAATTGTGGGGATGGGAGTAAAGGGGGTCCTGGCTGTAGCCTGAGAGCGCTGGGTTAGGGTTATGATTGCCTGGCATGTTTTTCGTAGCTTGGTGGCTATTAGGACTAGAGCTTGGATTCCCACGCTCTCTAAGGTCCCTGGAGGGCTTAGTGTCCTTCTTCTGCCTTGCTGTCTTTTTCATTCCCTTTCTCTCCTGCCTACTGTCCTCCCCAGGCCTCCAAGCAGCATCGTCTGAAGCGCTACCACAGCCAGATCTATGGGAATGGGTCCAAGTGTGACCTCAACGGGAGACCCCGGGAGGCCGAAGTTCGAGTGAGTTTTGACATTCCCTCAGTGACAATTCAAATTCTAAGGGAAGAGGACAGGGTTGCTTCTTATAATCAAGAAGGTCTCTCCCCAAGAGACTTAATTTTTCCAGCTATCAGCTGGGTGTCCCTGCCAGGATAGTCAGAGGTCCTTCAAGTCAGCATTTTCCCACATCTTCCCCTCCAACACTTCCTCTTTTTCCCATATTTCTCCTTTCTGTCTCCTTCACGTCATCCTAACTCTCTTCACATAATGACTCTTCACGTAATGAGCTCTTGCTGTATGTACATCCTGGACTTGGCTCTGGGGATATAGTGGTAAGCAAACAGATGCAGCCTTTGCCCTCTTGGAGTGCAGTCTAGGGGAGAAGTCAGATGTTAGCAAAAGAATCCCGAAAGTGAGCCTATGTTTACAAACTGAGAATTTATGAAAGATACAGTTCTCTGAGAGTAAACAACAAAGGCCATACATTTTACTTCCAGACACTTCAAAACTTTCCTATTTGTCCCTATGGTTGGTACCTTCATATCCCACTTGAGTTACTGCCAACATTCTCTTAATAAATGTTCCTGATCTAATGGGATGGGTAGGTAGATGTATGTTAAAGTTCCTCAGGTGATCCTAATGTGTGTTCATATGGGTGTGCACACACACACCTGTAGAGGACCACATGACACCAGAATTATTTTTTGTAATACAGATTTGTGTGTGCCGTGGCATGCTGACAGATGTTGAATACCCAAATTGTTGGGCAGTTGTCAGCTGGGAGGAAGTCCTAATTTTTAGTGTTTGCCAATATCTATGGCATAAATATTCCCACTGTGGCCAATTTCAGGTTACAAATGTGACATCAGTTGGCTGGCAGATTTTCTGACAATTGATCAGTCAGTTTGTGTGAGCTGGCTGCAGAATGTCACAAATGGTAAACACACATCACTTCTCTGCCCAGTCCTGGAACGCCTCCAGTGATTGTGCCCGGTCCAAAGGATAAGGTCCAAATGCCTCAGCACAGACCAGCATGGTGCCACAGTGGAGGCAATGAAAGTTGGATGGCTTCTGCATATGGGAGGGGGCTTCAAATATTTATGAGAAAATTCCATTGTCTTTTAACTCCATTTTTCCATGAAGTATCTGAAACCCCTTCATACAATGAGGTTTCCTCTGCTATCCAAAAGTAAGAGTATCCTTATGACCTTATGAAACCTTCTGTAAGCCAGAATGGTGTAAAACAAAGAAGCAATTACCATTCATTTATATGGGAAAGTGTTTGTGCATTCCCAGACCCCACTAAATCATACGAAACAACACATAAAATCTAAAATACATTAACACTAACATAAAGTTTGCACAGATACAGTTCAAAGCTATGACAGCTTGATCAGAAATGCTAAGTGTAATTCCCTAGGTAGGAGTTTATGGGTGCCACTCTTGCTGGGGGTGTGAGCTGCCTCTTTAATGGCATGCTGCAAAACAAATGCTGAATGCTAATTTTGCTTTTTGTCTTTTTTTCTTTTTAAGGCTTTTATTGTGGATTGAATGAAAGTTTACAGGGCAAATCATCAGTTTTACATTCAACAAATCATACACTTTGTTTAATTACAATGATTATAATCCCCTCCATGTACCATCAGTTAACAGTATTTCTCTCATTCCACTTTAGCTTTTTTTTTTTCTTAAATGATTTATTGTGAATTATGTGACAGTTTACATGGGAGAACATTTGTTTTACATTTATTCTATTGTATATCATCTCATTGCCATGGTTACAATCCCCTCCATGCAATCCTTCCCCTGTGCCCCCCAGGTCTTCAGCACACAGTCACTCTCCCTTTCTGGGTCTAGAGTCTCTAGCTGCTCCATAGCTCCACATCATCATCTCTGGCTCCATTTCCAGCATCACTGCTTCTCTGGGTAGGGTCCTACTCTCTGCTCTTCTCCCTTGATGGTCCTAGGGACCTCCGCTCCTAGACTGAAAAGTCAATCACTCCCCTCTTTGCTATATAACGTCCACCTTTACATTTCCAATCCTCACAGTCAGTCCTGATAACAATTATTCACTATTGTATCACAAGAGACCCCGTCTGCATTTCATTGCATCAGCCCCGCCTAGTCAGATTGAATACTGCTCACTGGAGATTCTACCTTCCTCCAAGCCCCTGGGTCTAGGTTCCCTCTTGAAAGCTTATAAGCCAGTCACTTCTTGCCTTTGTAGCCCCCCACACCCCATTTTGGGTAGCCAGTGTCCAAGTTGCCCATCACTTTAGCTTTTTTAAAAAACAAACAAACAAAATAACCACTCAGGCATATATAATAATTTACATCTCCAAAGGGCACATTCTGCAAGTCTGCCTCCTGGACACCAGCCTCTTAGTCCCTCTCTTCTTAGTCCATGAATCTAGAGTCCTCAGCCGCTCCCCCTCTCCATGCCCCCATCTCTGCCTCCATCTCTGGCCCTGTGCTTCTCTGGATAAGGTCCCGCCTTCTGCTTGTGCGCTTCTCTCTTGATAGTCCTAGGGTCCTCTGTTTCTGGACTGTAAGATTAACCACTCCCCTTTTTATGTTACAAAACTTCTACCTTTACAATTGTGACAGTTGCAATTAGTCATGATAACAATTATTCACTATTGAATCTTATGAATTTTATCTCCATCTCTTTCCACCAGACCCATCTAGACAGGATGACAGCTATTCAGTGGGGACTCTTTCTTTCCCCCCCATACTCTTAAACTAAACTCCCTCTTGAAACCTTGTAAGCCAGTCACTTCATGCCTTTATTGCCCCCTCATTTTAGGTAGCTGATGTCTAAATTGCCTGCCCCTATCCACCCTGTGTACAGAGGGGATAGCATTGATACTTGATGTGAAGACTCTTTCCCTCTCTGTTGGTATTTAGAGTAACTAACACTATGAGTATAGGTCAGGTTCATCAAATTGAAGCAATTTACCCTTGTTTCCTTTATCCAAAAAAAAAAAAAATTTTTTTTTTTTCTTTTTTCAATCTTCCTCTAGTTGAGTTCTGATTATCGAGCCATCGAGGCTAAGTCAAAAGGGTACTATGTGCAAGTTTGGGTGATCTTGTACATCTCCCCTCACTTCATATCAGCTGGAGGCTTCACTCTCAGCTCTTGTCCTCTGTGGCTAAGTCCTTGTCCATGGGCTCAAGTGTCCTCACGTCTCACCACACTTTGGACCAACCAGCCCTTCCTCTTATCTCTCTCATCTCCAGGTCAATGGGATTCAATGGACTGGGGTTGAACTCAGCCCATATCTTCATTGATGCCTTTCCGCCTCTTCCACTCACCAGTAGATCAATGTGGTCTCCAGCAAGCTTACATGCTTGTTTGTATATTCCCTTTGAGTTTCATTCTTAGAGGGGAGTTTGTCCAGAAGGCACTTGATCACTAGCCTTGATGTCTTCCTGGCGAACACCTTGCTTATTCTTGTAGCAGCCAGTCATGCTGACATTTTTTTTTTTTTTTCCTGATGATCTTTCTTTGAAGATATATCTTCTGTCACTGTAGCTGTTCCAGTCTGCTTGTCCTTTCTAGTGGGAATGTCTCACCTCACAAGGTTGTGGATGGGACTCAGGATTCCACCTAAGGTCCTATAATCTGTAAAGGCTTTGTACAAGGCCTATTTCACTGGCAAGTTGTAGAACCCCTTTTAGGTATTCCAATCAGATATAGGCTGAAAACAGGCTTACAAGTTTTCTCTAATCATGTTTCCCAACATTCCTTTCTATCCACTCAAGTGTCTATTTTACAATAGTAGGCAAGGCAAACTAATATTCATAAGGCAGGCAAAGATTTTAGTATTATTTACCCTCTTCAAGCTATACCTAGAACCCTGTATCCCAGAGCCCTATTGTTCCAAGGTTGAGTATGCATCACTATTCACCTCTGTCTCACTCGGCCATGCAAACCTGTCTAAGTGTTCCCCTATCTGTCTTGTTCTTCCACCTCCTCCCTACTTCTTGTATTGCCCTCCCCAACCCCATTGTGGTTACTTTATATTCCATTAGTTCTACCCTCCATTTAAGACAGTTTGTTTTATCCTGAAGTCTACCTGACCTTCTCACCACCTGGATCTCTGGTTCCTCTGTGTTTACCTTTTTTTCACATTGTAATTATTTTGATCATAGACTGACCTGCCTGATCCTCTGTTCTTATCAATTTATTCTGTTCTTGACTCTTACATTTGTCGATTGCGTTCAGGGTGATGCTGCTATGTACGTCATTCTCTAGTTGTTGTCTGTTCTTGTTGGTTCTCAGTTCACAGAACTTAACCTTTAGGATGTTTTTCATAGCAGGGTTGGCTTTGGCAAAATCCCTTAGCTTCTGTTTATCCTGGAATGTTTTGATTATATCATCACATTTGATTGACAGCTTTGCTGGGTAGAGGATTCTGTGTTGGAAGT